TGAATATTACAAAATGAAAGGTGGGCAATAATAATGAGAGAATACCTTATCTTTAGAAATGAGTTATGCAATTTTATTCATAGATCATTGGTTTATGTTGACTGCCAGGGGATTACTTAGAAGTGAATGATTGTATCTTCATTATAGGGGATTGATAAATGATGGCATGTGACCAAAGAAAAAAAATAACTTTTACTAATTAAAAAGCAAGATATTCGGATATGAAAATGAATTGAATTCAAACTGGTGTATTAGTTGCCAGTTCTGTAATGGGAAAATTGTTGGGAAAATCTCTCCTGGACGATCTATTAAATTATTTTGTTTCCTTGAATTCCTAGAGGAACATAGGGCTTCAACCACTCACGCCTCCATTACGTTTGGTTCTCCATCAACGTTTTAATTACCTGGCTCCACGTCTACCCACATGCTTTCATCTCCTCTTCGAATAACCTCTTCCTACTCTATGTCACCCTACCCTCGTAGTGACGACCAACTAACTCGCCACTTCCCAGTTGGGTTCCATTGGAGTGATGGCCTGGTGTGTGATGTCACTCACTTGATAGTTTGTTTTCTGAGAGTCTGGCCACCAATCCACCTCCATTTCTTCCTGCTTATTTGTAGCACAATTAGTTCCTGCTGGGTTGTGTCGGTGCGCTGATTGCCAGAGATCCCTGTTGTTGATCTTTTCTGACAGGCCAACTGTTCTTGAGCGAAGTATCGAGCGAATACAGTTGTTGATGGAAGTCTGTAGTTTGTTTGAAGTGCCCTTCGTGAGGCGACGCGGTAGCAAGTCTCTGATCCGTATAGCAAACAGTACTGACTTCACATTGGAGTTGGAAATCCGTATCTTATTTTTAATGCTGAGTGCTGTTGACCTCCACATAGACTTCAGAGTATTGAAAGCTTGTCTTGCTTTTCGATACTCGTTTTGATGTCCGCATGAATTCTATCCGCCTGTAGTTGAAACGATGCTTCCTGAATGATCTAATCTCAAATATTTACACCTATTTGGACTTCTGAAGTAAACCTCGGTAATTATTATTCGTCTTCTTCTTACACTGTATATCATTATCTAGAAATTTCAATTTCTTCTTGATTTTCTGCAACTGGAAGACTTCAGGTTTGAACTACTATGGGTGGGTACTGATGAAGAGTCTCAAACTGGAATGAAACAGCTTTCTGGTACTCTCAGTTGGTTTTCTAATGGTTCTCTAACCAATGTCAACTCACGATAAAGTCCTCTAACCAATCAAATCCCAGCAAACCAACATCTTATTATTTGTATATCTCTCTCTCCTTAATAGATAATTTTAATGCTTCTCTTCATGGTTTTGTCATGATACTGATAATGTTTGTTGTTTTACGATGTGATTTTTGTTGTTGTTGAGTAGATGAGTCGAAGGTGATTCTCACATTGAACTGTCTTCGAGAATTATTTAGTGTGCAAGTCTTGTGGACAAATTTTTTGTTCCCATCTTGTTAAGAATGTTGTACTTGACTTTGAGTATCCGTTTTGTGTACTCATATTGCATTCTATCGCTGTCAGACAGCACTGGTGAGGTAACTTTTACTTTTTGGTGTCATTTTTGTTAAATAGAAATTCAAAAGTTTTCAAGAATAATTGTCTTTTTGCTAACTTTGGATTGTTTCATGACTGTGTTTGACTCAAGGAAGTTTTGTTTAGGTATACAGTTGAACACAGACATCGACTTCCTAAGTTCAGAACACTACGAATAGGTTTTCGTTGTAACCAGTTCATCATTACAGTAGTAGATCGGGTTGAAGGAATTATCCCTAATCAATTTTTTCTAAATTTTGTTCGAATCGATATAGAGAGTACACGACTCGAAAAATGGTATTTTCGTAAACACATCAAGTAATCTTATGTCTTATCTGAAGGAAAATGACGACATGAACGGGCATCAACTGGAATGTGACATAAATTCTCAGCCACACATATAATTGACCAATGAGAGTAGGTCGTTTACTTCAGATATTTCTTGAATGAAGAAATGGTAGTAAGGAATTCAATATATATATATATATATATATATCGATTCGATTCACAACACCTCTCATAGTTTCATTTAACCTCAGATCATCATTAATTTGCCAGTCTGTGAACCTAAAATGTTATCCCAGATAGACTAACTGTCAGCTAATAACCTGATCGTATCCATCTTATTTAGTATCATTATTATAATATTATTATTTCCTTTAATTCCTGGAGGAACAAAGGGCTTCAGCCGCACACGTCTCCATTGTGTTCAGTTCTCTGCTAAAGTTTTCATCTGGTTTCAGGTCTGACCACATGCTTTCATCTCCTATCCACATCACCTCCTCCAAGTCACCCTTGCATTGACGACCAACTAACTCACCACTTCCTTTCCGGGCTCCACTCGAGGGCTTGTCTAGTGATGTCACTTGATGCTTTCCCTAGAGTACGGTCAATCCACCTCCATTTCTTTTTGCTTATTTGTTGCACAATCGGTTTCTGGTTGGTTCGCTCCCAGAGATCCCTATTGCTGATCTTTTCCGGCCATCTGATCTTGAGTATTTTTTTAGATTTTTAGATTTACAGCTTGATTCCACACTGTATTTTTGGTACAGGTATGGAATTTTCAGCATGGATATCGGTAGCCCAAATTTTGCAGGCTGACCATAGATATCAAGTGTGCGCCGGCGTGGGCTCGAATCCCGGACCATGTGCATTGTCGGCGAGAGTGCTAACCACTGTGCCACCGACGCACAGCTGTTGATGAAGGTCTGTAGTTTGGTTGAGGTGCTCTTTATGACGCGCCAAGTCCCTAATCCATAAAGTAGCACTGACTTCAGAGTGGAGTTGAAAATCCGGATCTTATTTTCATTTTGGTGCTGAGTGCTGTTGACCTCCACACAGACTCGAGAGTAATGGAAGCTTGTCTTACTTTCCCGATCCTTGCTTTTATATTCTCATCAGTTCTGTCCGCCTGTAGTTGAAACGAGGCTTCCCAGGTAGGTAAATGAGGTTGTTTCTTTCAGATTCCTCCCATTTATGCTGATTGTTATCTGTTGTTGTTGTTGCTGCTGCTGTTGGCCAGAAATCTTCACCACCTCTGTTTTCTCTATGTTCACCTGAAGTCCTATCTTTGATGCCTCTTCTCCCAACTTGTTGCTTTTCACTTGCATATCTACCAGTTTTTGGGAAATCAGACATATATTATTGGTGAAGTCCAGACCCTTCAAGTTTTTTGTGTGGATCCATTTTACGCCTGTCTCCTCGTTGCCCGGTCCGCTTTCTGTCACACTGTCCAGTGTACCTCAATCGGGAAAATCATTGGAGATAGTAGGCAGTTAGCCAGCCTTGTCCTACTCCCATCTTCACTTCGAATGATTCCGTGAATTCCCCGTTGTGGATTACTTGGCAAGCAGCATTGTCATACAACCGTTGGATGAGATGTATAATTGTTGGCGTCACCTTGTAGTAGCGAATAAGTTTCTAAATCACTCCAAATCGATCGATGCCCTCTAAGGCTTTCTCAGATTCAATGAAGTTGAGATAGAGGGGTGACTGCCATTCCAAGCTTTGTTCAATGCTAATCCGTAGTGTGGCGATTTGATCAGTACATGACTTGTTTCTCCTGAATCCGGCCTGTTCCGGTCGAAGTTTTTCATTCAGGGCTTGCTTGATTCTCTCTAGGATGATGCGGCTTAGTATTTTGCTTTGGATGGAGAGGGGGATAATTCCGCTCCAGTTATTGCATTGACTTAAGTCTCCTTTCTTTGATAGTTTGAATAAGTATCCTTTCTTCCAATCCTCGGGTACTTTGCCCTCTTTCCACACCTTCTACAGTAGTGGTGTCAATAATTATGATGATGGACGGGAAAATACCTATTCGAACAGTTAGTATGATGACAAACTGAGACAGAGAGAATCCCTGGAAACCATTGGAGGTTGAAGTGATGTTTAGCTCTAGTTTAGCCCTAGAGTACCAACTAAAGATATAATTGAAAACCTTGAGTGTGTGAGGCAAGCCCATTGACCATTTAGCCAGTGGCTGGCAATTCAGTGATCAATGAATTCTAACTTTTTTCCCAGTATCATCAGTGAGTTTCTCTCCCCACATCAAAATTAGCTAGCTTGCCTCGCAATCAAAGGGTGATCGATTCAATCTCTGGGGAAGTGATAGATACTTACCGCTGAAGAATGGATTCTTGAGGGAATATTCACTGAAATTAACTAAAATATCTTCCAAACCAAAATCAGTCAGAGATTATTATTTTTTGTAGTTGCACATGTGAAATCATCCAATAAAGTACATGAAACTGAAGTAAACTCAAAGACTTGTTAACTACTCACAATCAATTTTTGCACAATGATAAAATTCATCGATTAAAAGGATATTAAGCTCTATTTTTTCTTTTGTCACAAGGAGATTCTTCGTACTGAAGTTTCCGTAGTAGATTTGTACACAGGGTGAGGTTGCTGACCTCAAGCCTGAGCATTTTGGGCAGAAATGGAGGCAGTTAATGAAAATGTTTTCAGAGAACCGAGCACAATGGAGATGTGCGAGGCCGAAGTTCCATGTTCCTCTAGGAACTGATCATCAGGACAATCAAAACAAGTAATGACCAGCTGTCATGTAAATGAATGTGATATGTGACTTTCTATTTCAACATCATTACACTAGCTGGTCAGTTAGGCCTTCTCCTGTCAGTCTTAATAGCACTCAGTTAAATGGAGAGGAGAAATCAGATTATGCATTGACAGGGAAATTATCTGAGTGAGTCTTCGCCTGGCGTTGACTCTGTTTGATATGATGGATGGCAATTGAAGGTGAGATGAAATTAATGCGTTTTGAGTAGGACTTGAATTTATGCATAAATTAATTATTCACATGACAGATGGGCGTTTCCTGTCTGGCATAATTTCAGTGAGCATATAAATTACTACATTATCAGCTATGCTCTTCGTGCCTCAACTTCTATTACATATCCGATCAGTTTCGCAGGTGGCCAGTTCAGATTCTGCCATCATCCAGATTCCCGTTCCACTTTTGAACACCATCATCATCATCATCATCATTATCATCATCATCATCATCATCATCATCATCATCATCATCATCATCATCATCATCATCATCATCATCATCATCATCATCATCATCATCATCATCATCATCATCATCATCATCATCATCATCATCATCATCATCATCATCATCATCATCATCATCATCATCATCATCATCATCATCATCATCATCATCATCATCATCATCATCATCATCATCATCATCATCATCATCATCATCATCATCATCATCATCGACTACTATGTAATTCTCCTCATCTCTCAAAAGTCATCAAAATGAAAGTAAAGACTCTTCTACAAGTTGCACCTAAACTATTTACTTCTATGAAAATGAATCCCATCAACATTTACTTCCATGAAGCCATTTCCTTCCTCATGATATTAGAATTCATTCCTTTCTTCGCGAGTGGAACATGGGACCTACGTGGGACATCATCATTGAGGTCAGCTCCTTGCAATCACCCTCCACTGGATATAAAACCACCCATCAGCTTCTATTCTCTCTTCATATAGCCTTTTCCAATACCACTCTCGGAGCCACAACCAATTCGTGGCTTTGTGTTCCAGTCACACACGAAGGTATGTTGTGTGATGTAGATTAGTGGTCTCCTCACTGTATCTTCAATCTATCTGTATAGATATAAATATACTTCCGCCTACATATTACACTACTTCTAAATCCTTACATGCATACAGTATAGTCCCAATTTCGTATGATATGCGATTGATAATCAATATCAATAATTTCTTTGGGACTAATCAGGGTTGTTGTGGCTTTGTAGCTAAGTGGTTTAAACGGGGTGAAATGCTCAATCCCTGTGATTATATTGACTTCTGGAATGCAGTATTTGACGTTGCTTTGTGGTGAGATTTGTGTAGTCTGTGTTTGAGATAGCTATCGGTGGAAGCTAGTCTGTGTCACCCATCCTATTTGAGACTCATCAACTGATCGTATCGTCATCTCCACTAACAGAGTGTATTCGCACGGAAACTGGAATCCAGCATTTATTGTTTCAGGTGTTGGTTTGAATGGATTTGCTTGGTTACAGGATTTCATCATGAGCTGACATTGGTTAGAGAACCATTGGAAAACCTGGGAGTACTGGACAGCTGTTTCCTAAGTACTAGCTTGGGACTCTTGAGCAGTACGCACCCACCACAGGGGTTCGAACCCAGGACCTTCTGGTTACAAGGCGAGCTCGTATACCATTAAGCCACTGGGACCCGATTCAATAGCCAGCGCATGAATTCTAACTTCTACCAATTCACTCATGACATAGCGCGACCACTAGACAATGTCTTCGGAGAGTATATGTCCTCACACTCGACTTGCTGCACCCTACTGGTCACGACTTCCCACTAGAACCCCAGGTAGCCATCTACCTGAATAGGGCCAGTCTCCAGTGAGAAAGTTAGAATTCATGGAATGGCCATTGGATAGGGTCGCAGTGGCTTAATGCTATATGAGCTCGCCTTGTAACCAGAGGGTACTGGGTTCGAACCCGGCGATGCGGGTGCATACTAATGAAGAGTCCCAAACTAGGACCAAACCGCTGTCCAGTACTCCGTGCAGGTTTTCCAACGATTACGTAACCAACAAATATCAGCTCACGATGAAATCCTATAGCTCATTGTTTCATTCACATGAAGTTTTATTCAAGATTATTGTATGTTGAGCTATTTACAAGGAGTGTTAGTTTCTCTCTCCTTTTGGTTATAGAAATTCAGGTTCGAATTATGTTTTCTGAGTTTTCCATAGTTACTCGTCCTTCTCACCCTCCTCCTCCTCCCCCGCCTACAGACACTATGCAGTACAGTGTGGTGACAAGATTTTTATACCATCTTCTAAGTACATACATACATGTATGTATACATAATGGTATTTGTTTCCATTAAAACAGTTGAGTACATGTAGTATTAAATGAATTGGCTTTTCTAAGATAGCAAAATAAAGAATTTTACGCCATAATATTATTGGCATAATTGAGAAAAATGACGTAAACTGACTACGTGTCTACTATAATTTGACAAAGAGAAATAAATAATGAACAATGAAATGTGTTGATTTTCGTTTCTTTGTCTGTTTATCGATTCACATTTATCGATTGATGATTTCATATTGAATGCAAATAGCTCTTTACCTTGCAGTTTGATGTTCTGCAGTATCGTCGTTGTGCACTCATGAGTTATATGCGTATATATACATCAATATGTGAGCGTGTATAAACTCAAATGTTCTCAAGATCAAAGTCTAAAGGATACTTTTGTTTACAGCGGTTATTCACTAGGGTGTCTAACTATTATCACTCGTTTAGTCCATGGTATTGATGCAGTATAGTCACTAGACTGGCTGATCATCACGCCGCAGTATGACAGAATTCAATTTGACTCAAATGTTTTGTCTCTCCATGGTGTATGAATCTTAGTTGAAATAAAGTTTTAATGATAAGTCTAAACGTTATCCTTCGCTAGTACTACCAGCCATCAACAACACACTAAAAATGAATCGATTAAACGTCAACTGGATGTCAGAATAAATCATCCATTAAAGAGTCAAGACTCTTAACCAACCCGATGTTAAGTGAATATCAGTCATGAGTGAAAATCGATGCAAAACTCCATTCATAGGTATAACTCATTGTTGATTCACTGGTAGGAAGAACATTTTAGACTACAACTTACATACAGAGACTGACGAATATTACCACACTCATCTAAACTCTCAGGCCTATTCTAACTTTTACTCAGACCTCACATAGATATCCAGACACCCGTTGACACACATCCCTCCAAACAACAACAACAACAATTGCAATCATATCACCGCCATTCTGGGAACTCCACTTACACACATCACACAATTCTGGGTTCAATTGTCTACAAATTATCTACTCTCCATAAAGAATCTCCAAATCAAATATTCAATGAGACTAGTTGTGTATGACACAACATTATTCCATCTCAAACAAAACGCACCCTTCAGAGACATTACTGGAGAACAACTTTATTATTATTATTGTTCCCTTAGGTTACTAGTGAAACATAGGGCTTCAACTGCATGTATCCACTTGCCATTTCTGTCTTCTCCTGTACTTTTCACCTGCATCCATATTAGTTAGTTCATACTCTTTCAACTCCTCTCTACACGGTCTACTCCATGTCACCCTTACACCGACGTCCCACTTGCCGCTTCCTTTTCGGGTTCCACTCGAGCAGTGGCCTGACGCGCGCGCGATGTCACCCAGCGGTGGCCTCCTCAGCGAGTGTCCAGTCCATCTCTTCACTTTATCCTGCATATTTGCTGTTGGTGGGCGATTGGTTCTTGTTTTATTTGTTCCCATAGTTTCTTGTTGGTGATTCTTTCCGGCCCAGCCATCTGATCTTCACTATAGAGCGAAGACAGTTAGTTATTGATGAAGGTCTGCGATAGCCTGTTGGAAATATTCTTTGTGACTCACCCGCCAAGTTTCTGATCCGTGTAGAAGAACTGACTGACTTGACGTTGTTTGCATTGAAAATCCGACCGAATTTTGTTGTTGATGCTGAGTTGAGTGGCGAAGATTTCCAGATTGGTTCGCGATTCTCGATTTGACATCCTTGTCCATTCCGGCTGCCTGTAGCTGAGACAATGCTCCCTAGATCAGTGAGTGAATGAAGTAACCTCCTTCAAATCCCTCCCGTTGATGGTGATTGGCGCTGGATTTTGCTGCTGCTACTGTTGGTGGTGGTGATGGTCGGTTATTTTCATAACCTCCGTCTTGTCTATGTTCATATGGAGTCCTGTCTTTAACGTCAATCAATAAACAAACACACTATTCATGAATGTTCTAAGTTTACTTCAGATTATTGGACGTAATCGCCAGGAAACCGTGGTCCTAGGTTTCCATCTTGATGGCACAAATATTTATTGAGACGCCACCGACACAGTAAGTCGAATGTTCGCAAGAAATCGTCTTCTGCTTTGCTAAGCACAACAAAAATTGTGTAATATATATATATATAATTCAGTAAAACTGAGCAATCAGTTTGTTTATTTTCTGGCGGCTTACTTAAACCACTGAGCTACTTTCATCCGTTCCTTGTTGTGGTATTAATCTGCCAATTATGTCGTTGGATGGTGACATGAACTCAGGTGGATATTTGTAATCGGCTTCCGACCTACCGATGTACAGCAATTGAAGAAGGAGTGTAAGGTGAGGATTGTTTTTGAGGATTGCGTTTTGTTTCAGATGGAATAGTGTTGTGTCATACACAGTTAGTCTCGTTGAATAAGTGATTTGGAGATTCTCTATGGAAAGTAGATAAATCTGTAGACGATTGAAATGAGAATTGTGTGATGTGCGTAAGCGGAGTTCTCAGAATGACGCTGATATAATTGTAATTGTTTTTGTTCGGAGGGATATGTGTCACCTGGTGTCTGGATATCTATGTGAGGTGTGGCTGAGAATTAGAACAGGCTGGATGGTATAGATTAGTGTGGTAATATTCCTCAGTCTTTTTATGTGAGTTGTAGTCTAAAATGTTCTCCGTACCACTGATTCAATGGATGATTTATACATGTGAATGTAGTTGACGGTTGATTTTACTAATGACTGGCATCCACTTAATATGGAGTTCATCGAGATATCTGATTGGATTATAGATGAAATATCCCGACATCCATTTGGCGTTCAATCTATTCATTTTTAATGTGTTGTAATTGTAAAAACTTTTATTTTGTTGATGGCATTTGGTGTTAGAATCGTGGTGGATGGCATCTGGACTTAGGATCTATACATATCTGCACCCTAAGCGAATGATATTTGAATTGAAACTTCTACTCAGCCGTCATCAATCATTTCAGTTGAATCAAAATCAGTCATCAGGAAGCTAAAAAATAAGTTAGCTAAATAACACTTGATACCTATTGTCCAGTGAATGGTCTTCATGACCAAATGGTGCAACGAATAATGGTCTAGCACTTAGGAAATGTTGTTAGGTGTTGTCTTCCTTAGTCCTTATGGAACCTCACTTAATCATTGGGTATGCAGGTACATCTAACTAAAAGCTTCCGAATAATTCACAATTTGTCAATTAAATGCACAACTTGCAATTTATGCATTTCGAGGTGATCATTTACAACAGTTTCAATTTTGTAAACGGGAAATTTTTTGAAATCACCATGTGTCACCTGTTTGATATCATAAAGCACCGTCAAGAAAGTAAGCATGATTGCATGATGCTAAATATACTGTAAGAACAGAAGACAAGTGCCAAGAAACAGATCGTTTATTAAGGAAATCAACACATATTTATAGATTTTCATGTACATATCATAGATTATTGTTAGCAGAAAAACACGGTCTTCTGATTGGTTG